CTCCAATCATTGAGGCCTGGGAAATACATGTCTGTCTTGAGCCAGAAGAATTAGTCTATGGGCATACCAATCTTTATCCAAGCTAGTGACCAGATTTTCCAACCCCAAAATAGGAGCCACATGGTTTGACATAGGATTTTTGTTCTCTTTCCAGGTGAGAATGGCAGTCTGGGAAATGTAGTTTGGCGATGCTAATAGTTGGAATTTCTAAGCAGTTCTCTGGCCAATGGAGGGAAGTAGATGGGACCTTCAAAGTAGGCATGGGAGATTTATGGGGTACTTAGTTTGGAGAAGAGAATAAAACACTAGAAATGAGAACCTTTGTTCCACCCAGAGGGAGAGAGAAGGGGAGATGTAGGGGGTGAGGAGAGAAATACTTGGAAGCATCTCTTGGATTCCAAGGAGGCAGACAGATAAAAAAGGCTGTATGAGGCGAGACTTGGGAAAATAGCAGGAAGGAGTTAGAGCTCAGTTCTGGAGTCAGCCAGACCTGGGTTCGAATGCAGACTGACTAACCACCTGGGTGATCTTCCCCAGTAACTTAGCCTCTTTGATGGGCCAGCAGTATAGGCTCTAGTCCAGCGGTTCTCAACCTGTGGGTCGCGACCCCTTTGGCGGTCGAAGGACCCTTTCACAGGGGTTGCCTAAGACCATCCTGCATATCAGATATTTACATTACGATTCATAACAGTAGCAATATTATAGTTATGCAGTAGCAACGAAAATAATTTTATGGTTGGGTCACAACATGAGGAACTGTATTTAAAGGGCCAGAAGGTTGAGAACCACTGCTCTAGTCTCAGTAGAGTTTTCATCCTGACTTGGTGATCTTAGGCAAGTAATTTAACCTCTCTGTGCCTCACTTTTCTCCTCTGTAAAATATAAAGAACACTCACCTTCTAAGGTGTCATAAGGACGTGGAATAGTTAAAGTGCTTAAAACAGTGCCTGGGACATTGGCCATCACTCAACACATGTTAGCTATTATTGTTATTACCTCTGGAGTTTTTCTCCAAATGTAGCAGCAAGAAACTTTTAGCTAGCATGTACATTTTTTATTTGGATAGTTATAAATTTATTTTCAAGTGTATTAAAATATGTGACTAGCACATCAAAGCTGTGGTTTCGCTAATGCTATTGCTTAGGGCAAGGCTATGTAGAAAAAGGGAATCAATTTAACATTGATTTAAAGAATAAGGAAAGTTCGTAAAGTAAAATAAAAGTCAATTAAAAATATAATACAGGTGGACTGTGGAAGAAAATCATGCAGGCAATACTTGAAAGGCTGAAATTTTTGGGAAATAATCTATAATGCCATGTTCCCTTCTGCAAAAACAACAACAAAAAACCCTAAGGCATATGGGCGAAGAACGCAGGCTGGGAAAATGACAGACCAAGATCCTATCAAAACTTTGCCTCCTCCTTGGCCTGCGGACCAAAGGGTCCCAGGTTCGATTCAGGTCAAGGGCGCAACCTTGGCTGCAGGCTCCTCCCTGGCCAGGGCCCTGGTCAGGGCTCATGCAGGAGGCAATCAATCCATGTGTTTCTCTCACAACAGTTGTTTCTCTGTCTTTCCCCTTCTCTTCCACTCTCTCTAAAAGAGCAATGGAAAAATATCCTCGGGCGAGGATTAACAAAAACAACAACAACAAAACAAAAAACAAAAAAAACTTTGCCTCTTTCCCCCTGTAACCACTGCTCTTCCCTTTCTTGTGAAGTGAAAGGAGAGCTCAGGCAAGCGATGGCGAAGGCCCTGATGGATTTCTGAGCCCCGATGGCATCGTGGATTGGGGAGCGCTCAGGGGAGGGAGGCTGAATTGAAAGGCCCAGCTCTGGAAATCGAAAGCCAACTCCCCAACTTCCCTCTCCCGTGGCGTTCACAGGGCGACTCGGGCCTCTCTGATTTTCTTTGGATCACTGGGTCAATCAGTCAGCCAATGCCTCGGGAGAAGTTTAATTAAGCTCAGATCGCGGGCGCGGGCTGCCAAAGGTCTCCGTGCCCGCCCCGTCCCCGGCACACTCCTGCAAAGCCTCTCCCCCGCCCCGCCCGGTGCGGCCCCGCAGGCCCGCAGCCCGCGCATGCGCGTCGGCAGGACGCCCAGCACCCCGCAGCAGGCTGGGCTCCCAGAACGGCGTTGCAAACTGTTGCATCAGACAGCCAGCAGCCAGCCGGGCCGCCAGGGTTTCTAGGAAGATAGGCAGGGTTTGAGATCCTCTGTGGTCTCTTGGGGACGTTGGCTGTCACCCACGGCGTTTACACGCTGGTAACACAATCCCCTGAAATCTCAAGCTTGCGCCAGTCGCCAGTCAGGCGAGGGCCTGAGCCACAGGTGAAATTCGCTGAACTCCTTTGCTCCAGCCCCACCCATGGCCCCAGGCTGGACCCACTGAACTGAACTCGGTCGGCTTTATTAATAGCATGGGCCCTGAAGGAATGAGCTGGGTTTGATTTCTCTTCCCAAGTACAAGAATGCCCCTGAGGAATTTCTCACTCCGTGAAAGTGCAAAACTAATTTC